GGCTGTGCAACTGGGAGAGTGCAGGGGATGTGATAGCAGTGTGAGAGAGTGCTGTTGAATCTCCCTGAGGTCCAAGACAGACACTGGGACCAGGAAGGACAGTGGGGACAGCAGGCGGCACAGAGAGAAATAAGCCACATCGGACACCAGGCATGAGCTTATGCAGCAGGCCCTGTGAAGGAGAGAGAGAGAGAGAGTCCCCACCTTTGCCAACGGAAAATCGAATTTCTCTGCTTGCATCAGCATCTGCAGCCCATGAAGCCCTCCCTTCCTGAGATCAAGCATTCAGAACTCCTGAGTTAAGGATAAGAGTTCCCTCTGGTAGTTCTCAGGAGACAATATCAGACACACTGTGGCTGGGTCAATTCAGACTCAGAGGAACCCCGTGTGGCTGAGGGGAGCTGCGCTGTCGGGCTGAGTCTTTGCAGAGGCGGCTGGACACACAAAATCATGCGAGAAGAAGGACGAATCAAAAGCAAAGCACGCAGAAGAGGAAATTTCCCTGTTGGAGACCAGAATCGGTCATTTCCAGACGACTGTGCTAACTACGTGTCGATACAGCTAAAAGGCATGCAGAGAACAAACTGGCAGAGATCAGCAAACAAATGGAGTCATGAAGCGAGAGACACGGCATGCGAATCGAAAACAATCCAAAGAGAACTCCTGAAACTGAGAAATCCAGCTGAATTCGAAAAATTAAGAGAAGCACTTGCTATTGAGATGAACTCGGAGAAGATAGACGACATGAACTAGAAGATAAAATAACTGAACGCTTCAAGCTCCAAAATCAAGAGAGAAGAACACAGGAACGCAAGCAAACCCAGACAGACCTGGAGATGTTCTTTCCGGTGAGGGATGCAACACGGTCCGCTTCAGTTTGTCATGCTCCGCCCGGAAGACCACACGATGGTTCCACTCACAAATGGCCAACACCACTTCACTCCAGCTCACTGGCGCCTAGGACGCTGATGTTCCAGGGTTCTGTTTCATGTGGCCCCTTTCAGTTTCCCTGGATCCGTGCTTCATACTTTTCACGGTTCCATTCTTAATGGACGTGCGCCCTTGTTTCCTCTCGTTTTGAACGCGCTCCTCAGCAAGCTGTGCTCCACTGACCGCAGCAAGGTGGATTCTTCTTGGACGAGGCAGCTTTTGCCAGTCGTAGTTTTACTGCGTTATCTCAGACAGACAGAGATAACTCGATCTCTAAGCCCTTTCTCTCAGGCTGTCCTAATCTGGGAGCTCCGTGGGCATCCGTTCAACGTGGAGGACTGCCGGTGCTTGAAATCCCAGTGGCTGCTCCTGTGACATCACAACAACATGCAGGCCTCTGCAGTCCCACGCACTGACCAGTGGTAGGAGCCTCAGTTTACCCAGCTATAAAGTGGAAGCAACTGTTTCTGCCTTACAGTATCGTTGGAATGAAGCCATCCAGAAAACTTAGGTAACACTGGCCTTGCGCCCCCAGTGGAAAGAGAACTGTGCAACATCTGTTCAGTTCTGTATTCTGCTCTTGGACAGCCGATGTAACCTGCCCAGATCACTGAAGGAGACAACCCACAGATTTACATTGGGACGAAGGCATCAGTAAGTGCCTGATAATTGGCAAAGATGTATTGAGTGTTCACGATATGCCCAGCACTGGGCAAGACACGCTGAGGTGAGGAATACAGGGTCTTCCCTCGAGGGGCCACCAGCTTAAATGAGGAACAACAGAAACTTCTTTAAAGCACGATAAATCAAAGTAACATGGGCTAAGTGTAGAGCTAATGAGATGTGCAACTGAGAGCAGAGCCCCCCTTGAGGCCACGCCGGACAGAAGGGAAGGGGACAAAGTGCAGAGGCTGAATACCGGCAGGGGCGGGGAAGGCACAGGAGAAAGAGCCCGGAGCAGGGAGGCCAGCTGCGGCTTTATGACATCCATTTTTCACTTCGCTTAAGGACAATCCCGAGGAGCTTCCGCTGGGAGCAATTGCCTTCGTGGAGCCCAGTGCCGTGTGTTCTGCGGGAGCCTGCCCTGGAGGAGGGAAAGGAGCGGGCAGGCCACCGAGGACTTGCAGTCGAGGCACACTTGCTGAGGAATGGACAGGGCTCAATAATATGTGGAATTCTTTAAGTCACAGAATTTGTTTTCATTTTATAAAAGATTTGCAAAGAGGGAAGAGTTCCAAAAAAAGAAGTAAGTGTGACTCCAAATCTTAAATCAATTGTTATGATAACTGATTAGCTTTGGAGGGTGTATTTATTTCCTCATTTGCATGTATTTTATATGCATGTGCTTCTTGGATACATAAAAATGCATTAGAAACTTGTGTTTTTTCAATACGCGTTCACTTTGTGTTCTAAAAATTGAGGCCTGCCAATAGATCCTTATTTTGTCACTAGGACAATTGTTATCAACACCCAAGACTTTTCTCATGTCTGTATTATTTTAATTTTATCCTAACATTCATCTCATAACAATTCAAACAAGCAAAGGTGGTGGTTGGTGTCGTTGCTAGATGCTGTCAGGTGCTCCTGGCGTGTAGAGTAGACCTGGGCTCCGTGGGGCTTTCGCGTGGTGAGTTTTGGTTACGCATTGCCAGGCCTGCTTTCCAAAGCGCTGTGGGTGGGTCTCCACCACGACCATCGGCTCATAGTCGGGTGCTTGGCCAGCTGTGCCACCCAGGGACTCCTTTTTGGGTTGTATACAGACTTCAACAAGTGTTTCCAAACTTTTTATTCAGAATTAGGTGAAGGTTTACAGAGCCGATCACAGTCGTACATTCATTACTGCATGCACTTTCGGATCCAACTCATCACTGCACCCCCTCCATGGACCATGGTGGTTCCCCTGCTTCCCCGTGTTTCCTGTTTCCATCCCTATGGCTTTCCTGACTTTCTGAATTCTCTGTTTGTAAATGCCGCCCTTTTGATTTTAAATGGTGAGTATTCTAACGCGTACAGGAGGAGCTCCATCCCAGAGGGTCAGAGTCTCGGGGAACCTCCAGTCTCTAATGGACCAGTAAGCCTGGGCTCTTTGGGCATTTTGACTTTTGTTCCACATCCCCCCCCCCCCGCGCTCTCCAGTCCATTGGACTGATTGTTTCCATATATCTCCCCATTCCCTTTGGTTGCGGGGAGAATAACTGCTGTACCTTCAATGGCTGTCCGTCATTAGAATGCGGAGCACTGTCTTGGTGAGCTATATACTGTGTCAGCTGACTTTGGGGCCCCCAAGTAAACACCTTCGTATTGTTGGACATTTCGTAATAGCATCTGCTGCATAGGGTGGCTGTGAGAAGTGGTTTTTGTTTTATAGCAATTAGAACATTGCCTGCCCCCCAGTAAGCACTATACACATGTTTGCTATTAATAAGTGGCCACATTCTCAACTATTATAGACAGTACTAGTAATCGCCTCATGAATACATTTTTCTCGTATTCAAATTTGCCAATTTTGTAAAAGAGCTTTACATTTGCATTGCCAATTACTTCACAAAGTTGCACCAATTAAATCCCATTTGTTATTGATGGAGCTCCCTGTTTCCACAAATCAATGCCGAGTCTGAATATCATATATATATATAATCTATGCCAATTAAAAAAAAATCTTTGCCAATTTCAAAGGCAAAACATTCTTTGATTGCTAGTGAGATTGAGCTCCACTTGGAATTCCTATACATGTTCTCTGCTGTTTTCCTATATGGATGTTTATGTTTTGCCTAGTGTTCACATAATTAGTATTACATTCTTTGATGCATATGATGCAATCATTTCCTGGTTGACCTTTTGACCCTTCATTCTGTTCTTAGTGGTTTCATGTTGTGATGCAGTTCTATGAAGAAGCCCTGGGAGGTCGGGCACGCACAGCTAAGTGCACTACTTCTAATGGAAAGCTGGTTGGTTGAAACCCACCCAGGGCATCTTGGGAGACAAGCCTGGTGACCTGCTTCCCTGTGGAGGAATTCTACTGTGCAAACAGTGGGTTGCCATGAGCCAGAATCAACTGACTCAACTGGGAACCCACAGTAAATGCAGCACCCTCTCATTTGGTCTCCCTTTTGACCCATTTGAAAGATTTTAGGGTTTTCTGCTCTCTCTGATTGAGGTTTACCTATGGTTGTCTAGTTGTTGTTATTGTTGGCTCTTTTGGTTTGTCTGTTTGCTTTATATGGTTGTGTTGTGTTTTGTATGATTTTCTGTACATGAGACCCAGAATAGGTGGTAACTGAATAGAAGCCTGCCAGCGGGGAATGGCGGGGAGTGGAGGGGTGGGTGGGTAGAAACAGGGAGCTAACAACAATGAGTACGAGAAGCCAGTGTTCTGAAATTGATTGCACAAGTCTTCTTAATAGGATTGAACATTAAATTGTAGGATATGTGGGGAAAAAACACATCTATGAACTATCACTTCATAACTGCTGATAAAGAACCCAGAGGATGAAAACATTTTTTTCAGAGAGCCTCCAAAAGGTCAACATTTAGCCTATAGCCGACAAGAGAAGATGGGGGCAGGGAAACCGGAGTGCTGGGGATGGAAGGCCCTGCACACAGTGACGAGAAGGCTGCCACTGTGGAAACCGTAACGCGTGTCATTGGTCAGTTGGTGTGGAACTTAGAAACAGAAACCCAGCTTGCCGTGTAATCACAAATACACAATGAAAGGTGGTTACAAATGGGGAAAAAGGACATTTCCTACCTCAAAGGAGAGAGATTCGCCTTTCGTTTCTTCCAGCTCTTTTAAGGGTTTTGCTTTTAAACCTGCAATCTGTCTCGACGGTGTTTGGCTGAGTGGTGCGGGCGGGAGGCTGAGTTAAGTTTCCATCCCGAGTACAGTCACTTGCCCCCCGTGGCGGAATCATCTTTCCTAGCTCCGCCAATTTCAAAAGCATCCTTTAACCCATGCTCAGTCTCCCTGTGTAGTCACAGAGCCGTTCTTACAGCCTTTCATGCACGACTATGTTTTGTTAGATTAGTTCATTTCTTGTAAGATTGTTCATTTACACGTACGTTATTTTAAGGCCATACAGGACATAGAAAAAGAATGGGCCAAACCTACACAGGCTCAGAGGGAGAAACTCATGTCTCTTCAGAAGGAAGACCAGCGGACACAGGTGAGTCAGCCTGGAATGGGAGAGACCCCTCGGAAGGGATGGAAGGAAACCTCCGGGGTGAGGATGTTCCCATATTTTCATTTAGAAACCCACCAAGCACGAAGAGTGGGGCTCTTTTTAACAACGAGGGTACCTTTATTGATTTTCCTGTTTACAAAATTAATACAGGCTCATTACTTAAAGATTCTACAAATGCAGGCAGCCTAAGTCTATTGCCAAGCTAACTAATATTGATCCTCAACATTATTGGTAGTGACCACTATTATTATTATTTCATTCTACAGCTAGGTTACCATTTAGTGAATGCAGTCAGTGTTCCCATCTTTTTTGCTGCTATAAATCAGTTGGGCAGTGAGTGCACGAGGCCCCAAACTGTGTCTAATTTATACATGCTCTGGGTATTCCCACACCTGGTACCGTTCCTGGCTGAACATTCCTGAAGACTGCAGCTTATAGCCTCTGTCTTGGAATGTGTGTTCTATTAGTCCTTAGGAGGAATCTCTAATAGACTTAAAAAAATCATTTTATCCAGGGCTCTTAGAGCTCTCATGACATTCCACACATCAACTGTATCAAGAATATGTGTGCATTTGTTGCCATCTTCATTTCCAAAACATTTCCTACTTGAGCCCTTGGTATAAGCTCCTCTTTTTTTACCCTCCCTCTCCCATCCCCCCACCTCGTGAATTCTTGATCAATTCTATATTGTTATTACAGTGAACCCTCGCCACTTCCTTGGTCACTTCAAAAGCGAAGGGAGGAAGCTAATTTGTAGAAATAACCTGAACAGTGCCCCCTGGGCACCCTTGGGCTGTCTGGAAGTCT